AGCAAATTCTCCCCAGTTATTTTAAGATCATGAGTATTGGTCCAGCCGGGGCTCGAACCCTCAACCTTCCTCACAACACAATCTGGCACACTAACCAATTGAGCTTTATTCTGCGCACCAACTTTTACCCTTACTGTGTCATTCAGAGGTGACATTGTGAGTAGAAATTAGCTGCTATTCACTCACAAAGAACAAAGGATGAAAATGCTGCAGTAACTTGTAGTGGTGTATATACAACTCTTGCTAGTCAGGTCCTCAAACACTAACAATTATTTCAACTTTGTTTTTACAGGATGTGGCAGAATTTTCCACCCTCCTGTTGAGATATAAGTACTATGCATTTTTTGACTTAAACCCAAAGGTAGGTAAAAACTTGTTTTTGAAGTCTTTATGTCAAAACAATAACAGATCAGTACAGATCTGACAGATAATGCTGAGCATCCTTTCTTTTGGTTTGTTTTTGCCAAAAAAAAAAAAAATTAGAATGGGGAGAATATGTTTATGCATAATTTTCAAAAATTTCTATCTGTAGTTGTGATGAATTTGTAATTGGTAATGAATGATAATTTTTATTTATTTAATAACATTTACAGGTTGATGAAGTGAGAATCAATCAACTGTATGAACAAGCCAAATGGTCAATCCTGACTGAGGAAGTAGAATGTACCGAGGAAGAGATGATGACGTTTGCTGCCATACAGGTTAGAATATTTTTAAATGGCCATTTAAACATTTTGAGGTCCTTCCCTGAGTATTTCATGTGGCTAAATATAATTTAGGCAAGGTTAACCTCCAGCTAATACGGCCAACGGTTCCGTGTAGTTTCGCACATGCTCTGCGGGTTCCCCCTGGATTTCGCAGGGGCAAACCACGCTAGCCTTGCTCGCTATCAGTTGTTGCAATCATTGCCCATTTCAGTGAATTTTAGCAGATTCATTAGCCCCACCCTTCCCTCCCAGAGGGCATTTTCAACCGCAGAGGTAAGTAATGGGTATGGTAAGTATCTCCACTAGACAGGTTTCAGTGTGACGGTGCCTGTTAGTGGCTGCTGCCGGGGTGGTTCCCGCTTGCTGGGTTGCCATGGAGACCTGCCTGTGGTGCCTGGAATTCCCTGGGCTCCTTCCCTGCTAACTTTTACGGCACCAGCTTTCCCAAGCTCATCAATTAGCGACAAGTTTAACAAGTCACTGAGAAAGAACTGAGTCTGCTCTCTAGTCAAGTGGTGTAGACATCTAGAGCTTGTTACACATCTCTTGTCAAGTTTTTTGAAACACCCATAGCCTGTCTCAAGGTGGATGTGTGGTTTAAGGTTATTCAGGTAGCAACTGGGAGAAGAGGTCTATTTTCAAGACCTGGTTAGGTCATTGTGTAGTGTTCTTGGGTAAGAAACTTACAGATTCTTTTCCCGTCCAGGAATGCAAATGGGTATCAAATGAATGAGCTATCAGTAAATTCTGAGGAAGGGCTGCCTACGTACCTACTGCCACAACTCATCCCAGTTAAATTTGTGACACAAAGCAACTGATAGTATTACTTCTCCACCTGGATGTGAGACTAATTAGCAGTTGGGGCCATTTCGCCTGATCACAGACTTAACCCCTTGACTCTTGGTTACTTATCTCACTTAGCCAACTGGTCCCATGATCAAGAAATCACTTGATTAATCTTGCTAACCTTTTTCTTCCTTTGCTTGCTTATCAGTTTCAGGTGAAGTTAACCTCGACTTCACCACAGAACCAACCAACTAGTGATGATGACAATGATGACATAGATGCAGCACTCAATGATTTACAGGTTCCTATTAACAACAGTTGTGTTCATTTATCTATAAATGCCCTTAATAATAGTTCATATATACATACATCTACCAAAGGGTGCAATTTAAGGTTTCACATTGCTTCAGTGTCAACAATATTATGATAATTTTAAAAGATAAAGCCCAAAAAAGATTGAAAGCTTTTGACTGATCTCCAGTTACCTTTAGTTAGAACACTTCAAACTGCTATAAAAACTTCATGTAAAGAGATGTTTTTTTGGTTACCCTAGAACCACCTAACAAGCTGTTTTGTGAAATTGTTCTGATGTTGGTGATGTAGTAGTGAATTGTATTTGAAATGAAAAATGAGTTTATTGATTTTCCAAAATTCAGTGAGTAGTATGGAATATTGATTATGTAGTGATATATTACACTGCTGATTTCCTTTTAACATAGCCAGGTATCTTGGTATTGGAACTAATAATAAGTGCATCTTTTTTTTCTTAAGGCAACCCTCGAAGGCTCATCTCTCACCACTCAAGGGCACCAAAAGGTATTCACAGTCTCAGTTTTTTGTAGCTTTTACACAGTGCAGGTGATTTGTTCTTTCTTTAAAATTAAATGAATGAGAAGAAACATTTTTCAGTGTGTCCTTTCTCATTCAGGAGCCATTAGTTGAGTTCATATTTCCCATTCACCTTCTTCAGCATAGCTTATGAAACATTTTTACTGCCAGCTGTCAATGAGAAGGATTACGGAATTTTTCTTGTGATAGGAAGACAAAAATCTACTGCTTGTTTTAAATTTGTTTGAATAGCTTGGCACTCACTCCTAAATAATTTAATATCAATACATTTATATGTTTGTATCATAGCAGAGTCTGACATCAGTTCCAGAAATAAAAGATTATCTTCATTTGGTGAAGTAAGTGTTTCTGATTCTGTTGTGTTTTTTCCAACAAGAAAATTCCATTCCCAAATGACGCTATCATTTGAATCCTCTAAATCCTAAGAGTCATCAGCATGTAATTTTTCCTTACAATAACACAGCTGAATCATTCAGAAGGATCATGAAAATAAAGGAAATCATCACCAACCCAAGTTTTGATTGTTAAACAAATTCTCCTTAGTCATTGCCAAAGGGTATGTGTAGAAAACAGTAGGGAGAATGTACATGCTGATGTTGGGGTGTGAAGGGTCAGGAATGAGCTAACTTAAGGGTGGTGTCTTTTTTTTTTTCTTTCCCAGACATAAAACATTTGGTTCAAAGAAAAAGAAGTACTGGTTTGTCTTCAAAGGTACAGTACCTTCAGATCAACATCTCCTTTCTCTAGACATTTCTCTAACATCCTTTTCAGCCTTTATATAATGTTTTTTTTTCCCTTGCAGACACCATCTTGTCACTGTTTAAATCTCAAGAGGAAGCTTTTGGTCAACCATCTCAAAAATTTAACCTGAGAGGTAACTAACGTGACAGAAGTATCATTAATTTATCTCTTAACCCTTCAGGAGTAATAAAAAAATAGGGGATCTAGTAAATGTTTGTTCTTCAAAACTTCTTGTTTAACGCTTTTGCTTCCAAGATCCAGGCATCAATTCTCTGAACCCACTGCTATGCATTTGAAGTAATATTAGCTCTAAAGAATTTTCTGATTACTGAGTGCAACACTGCTGTTTCCCTCTAGGTTGTGAGATCACTCCAGATGTTAATGTTAACAAAGAGAAATTTAACATCAAAATTAAGCTCCAAGAATCAGACGATATTGAAATCTGCTGCTCGTGTGTAAGTTAAAAGTTTATCACATATCAGGAATATAGCCTTAACTCTCTTCAAAGTTGCCACATTGTTTGATTGTTGAATGGCTTTTTTTGTTTGATAATCTTAGGAATCCCAGTATTCCAAATGGATGGCAGCTTGTCGTCTGGCATCCAAGGGGAAGACTATGGCAGATGCTGGGTATGATGCAGAGGTCTCTGGTATCCAGGCCTTCCTCAGCATGCAGCATGAAAAGGGGGATGCCACACCCCTTAGTCCTGGACAAGTGAGTTTTGTTCTATGCTTGGTATATTTTGACATGCGCTAGGAAAACAGAACGGGTGGGGGAAGGGTTGAGTACGGCAAGACGAGGTGTACCGGTAAAATTTGCGTTTGAAGTGGACAAAGAAAGTAAATAATAGTTTGATGCATCATTTGATTTGTCCCGTTTGCTCTCTCTAACCATTTACGAGACAAAGAAGAAAAGAAAAGTTTCTGTAAAGGATTGAAATTTACCCACTAGCTTCAGTTGTCCCACAAGACTTGAATAGATCAGCACTCTACGGGATTCCTTTGGTTTTGGTTGACTTAGCTCTATGGTTGGTGGAGGGAATTTGCGCTACTTACTCAACCAATCAAAAACTAAACCCAATGGCCACGTGGTTACCCGTGTTTTCCCGCCATTCAGACAGTTTTCCGTGGAGTCGCTCCGACTGGCCACTGTCGCAGGCTTTGGTTTCATTCCTCTCTTTGAAAAAGCGCTCTCTTAGGGGCCGACCATTTAACTTTTGA